AACAATCCCTTTGGGTCTGGGGCAGGGGGTGCAGTGGTTAGAGGTTGGGGTAGCAGGAGCACCTCAATGTGTGCATCACCATGTGAAAAAGGCTGGGAAACACTGAGTTAAGGGACTAATTAGAAACACTGCTGAGGGGCACCTGAGTGGCAGTCAGTTGAGCATCCAACTCTTGACTTCGGCTCAGGTCTTGATCCCAGGGTCGTGGGATCATGGGATTGAGCACCACATCGATGCTTAAGACTCTGTCTCTCTCTCTCTCTCTTCCCCTCTCCCCCCACTTGCACATGTGTGCTCTCTCTCTCTCAGAAACAAACACACAACAACAAAAAAACCCTGGGTTAAAGGACTAATTAGAAACACTTCTGAAAAGAACTAGAAAGAGACTGAATGTCCATAAAAAAGATGAAGCTCCTCACGTACCAACTAGAAAATCTTCCAAGACACGTAAGTGAAAGCCAGCAAGATCCAGGCAGTATGTAAAACATGCTACCATCCACGTAATAAGGAGGATACACACACTTCATGGATTACCTATGCATACGGTACGCCTTTACGGGTACACCACAGTGGCTGGCCCTGAAGGGAACCCAGGAGGTAGAGATGGAGATGGGAAAACTTATCCCAATGAACCCACTGAACTTCTGAATTTTAAAGCATGTGATGGCATTAAATTTTTTTGAATTCTATTTTAGAGGGGGAGAGAAAGTGGGTAAGGGAGGCAGGGAGGGCAAGGGGAAAGGGAAGGGAGAGAGGGAGAGAAAGAGAGAGAGAGAGACAGTCTCAAGCAGGTTCCACACTCAGTGCAGGGCCTGACGTGGGGCTCCATCCTACAACCCTGGGATCATGACATGAGCCGAAATCAAGAGTTGGCACTCAACCCGACTAAGCCACCCAGGGCCCCCCAATAATTTTTTTTAATGTTTATTTATTTTTGAGAGAAAGAAAGACAGAGTGTGAGCAGGGAAGGGGCAGACAGAGAGGGAGACACAGAATTCAAAGCAGGCTCCAGGCTCTGAGCTGTCAGCAGCCCCGATGCAAGGCTGGAACTCATGAACTGTGTGATCATGACCTGAGCTGAAGTCAGACGTTTAACCGACTGAGCCACCCAGGCACCCCAATAAACTTTTTGAAGTTGCCAAAACCACCTATGCCTAGTAATGACTATTTTCTATGCAAAACACCTTTATGACTAAGTCAAATGTTGGGTTAAAATAAGAAAAGCAAGATCTGGTTGCTGGTTAGCCAGCTATGTTCTCTTTGTGAAAATCCACTGAGCTCTACGCTTAATTATGATCTGTGTACTTTTCCACAGGTATAATATACCTCAATAAAAAGTCAAACATAAAATGAAAAGGTTACTTAGGTCAACTGTCTTTTTGTTCCCTTATTAAAAGGCCAGTATATGTCATTTATTTGCCTAAAAAATTGTTTCAAATTGTTCAGCAATGTTTCTCAAAAGCAACCTCCTATGACTGAGATGTCATGCCGAGCCCGTGTGACAAGGGGGCTCAGGTCTGCCTGCTCTGCTTCTCCATCAGTAGTAACGGCCTCCAGTCCCACATTCTCACTCTGGGCTGGGAGGGTTCAGTAAGCACTGAGGAGCATTACTAAAAACCACCTTATGGTTTACTGCATTGCAATTACATTTTTAAATTATGAAAATGAAAGTATTTAAAGACTTATCAAAAATGCCAAAGTCACAAAGGATGCAGATGGAGGCTGTGCAAACAGTCCAGACAGAAGGAGGCTACCTATAGAGGCGTGACCGTCAAATCCAACACCTGACCCGAGGCTGCTTCTGTGATGGAGAAGGGAGAACTGTTACCCAGGACTTTGCTGCATAAACAGGTAAAATCGGAAAATAAATGGCAGGTTGAAGTCTCCGTGTTGAACTGAACTTAGGCTATACTATGGTCATATGAGAGCATTTCCCCACTCTTTTTTTTTTAATTTTTTTTTCAACGTTTTTATTTATTTTTGGGACAGAGAGAGACAGAGCATGAACGGGGGAAGGGCAGAGAGAGAGGGAGACACAGAATCGGAAACAGGCTCCAGGCTCCGAGCCATCAGCCCAGAGCCTGACGCGGGGCTCGAACTCACGGACCGCGAGATCGTGACCTGGCTGAAGTCGGACGCTTAACCGACTGCGCCACCCAGGCGCCCCTCCCCACTCTTAATCAAAATACAATTGATATTAGTTAAAGTAAAGGGCCACAATGTTAAGTTACTCTTAAATGAGGGACAGGTCTATGTCCCTGTATGCGGGAACAGGGGGAGACTCAGCAGCAGTGGCAAATGATCATGCGAATAGGGTAAAATGTTAACAGGTTAATTTGAGTCCAGGGTGTGTGGATGTGCTTTGTGTTGGTCTTTTTTCTGTGAAATTAAAATTACTTCCAAATAAAGTCTTTTAAAACCATGTATTAATAAATTACTACCAATAAGAATCAAAACAAGCTTAGAAATGAATCTGGATTTTGATTATGACAGTTGCCTCTCATGACGCATTTTAATGCCAAGGCACTATTTCAATTTGCAAAAAAAAAGTAAAAATTACACCTTCTGGCTAGATTTATAAGAGCTAAATAAGTACCTTCCAAGACCTAAAGCTTAACATAATTGTCTTTAACATAAGACTCCACCTCAGTAATTTCTCATAATGTGAACCTTAATGGAGAAACTAGATTTACAGGAAGTTTAATAAAAGTTCTCATCCACACGAGGGATTAATCTCGCTTGAGTGGCAAACACAATGATAAATCCTAGCTAACAATGTAGGTTAACAGCACTTAAAGCCCTACCAAAAAAGAAAACAGAAATCAAAGGTCTAATAAAATGGTACATGTCCCAATAGATCTAATTCTTAGAAATGACAATGATGAAGGACTACACATGAAAGGCAAAACTTTAAATTTACAGAAAACCATACGGGAGACAATTCCCATCCCTCCAGGAAGGGAAAATTTCTTACACAAAAAAGCACAAGCCATACAGGAGAAGAATGAGAAATTAAACTACACTCAAAACTCACAATTTGCATGTGAAGTAAAGCCACATTTAAAGGGAAAGGACGAGTCACTTTTGGGGAGAGGACAGGCCCCTGCAAAAGGAGCTCACAAACTGGCAGCACCCAGGAAAAGCTCTGTCATCATCAGGCCTGTAAACACATGGAGAGTAGCAGCGACACCACCCAGAGCTGACTGTCCCCTGGCTGCACACATGTCCTCCACACCCCCCAGAGATCCTAGGGACAGGGAACTGGCAGGGAGGGAGCCTCCTCTCCACCAGATCCCTTTAACTAATAAAATCATTCACCAGGTGCCTCCAGGCAAAGAGGTGGCCTCCAGTGTCCAGAAAGGAGGATTCTCAGCACCCAGGTTCAGGCCTTAGAGAACTTTGGCGATTACGAGAGGACAGCCCTAAAACTACCTCCCAGCCCCTGAAGCCCTAGGACAATACTTTCTAACAACATCCTGGCACTAATGCTAGCTGAGAGTTCTGGATAAACAAGACGCTGGCCCCAGTGACATCTATCTAGCAGGATGTAAGATATAACAGCGCCACGACACTAAGACACAGATTGTTAAAAATTCACTCTCAAAGGTAGGCCTATTGTCTACAATTCAGCAGGACGGCTAGCTTCTCAGAGATCAGGGAGAGAGAGGGTAAAACATTCCAAAATACACAAGGCACTGCATGTTTTAACTATAATGAAGCATGTTAAGGTTACAACTACTAAATTAAGGATGGGAGGAAATGCAGAAACACTGCCAGCTATATTCTTAAAACTGCATGACATCCCCAAATAGTTTCCTCGCTGCAAAAATCCAATGCAACAGAAACCCCCCCTAGATCCAGTGAGGAGGTGGGGGGGGGGGCGGGGAGGACACACACACAGAGATCAGAGGTTTCACTCAAATGACATCTGAATGTACCTTTTATAATTAAAAACAACATGAAAACTACTTCCGGTATTCTTGAAAATGTCCACTTCCCTAACAGTTCAAATGAAAGAACCAGTTATTAGGAAACCTTTAAAAGCAAGTCTTGGGGGCAGAAGGCAAGTACTGGCAGGAATACAATTTCTTCACTCAAGCCCTTGAGAAAATTAACTCATAACAAAAGCTAACAGTTCACATCAGAAAGTAGGTTTCTTTTTCTTGGGCAGAGGTCTAGAAATTCCCTCTGTTCATCACAACTATCAGTAGTTTATCAATTTAAACACAACAACAACCTAAATAATTTTTTCCATTCTGACTAATATCAGATCCTGTAACTGCAGGCAAGAGGTGCACATCTGCCAATAAAAACAGAGAAAAGTCAAAAGCTAACTCATGTTCTCGAGAGCATTTAAAGAGAAAACATCTACAAGTAGACTTCCTACAAAAAATTGCATTTGTGTGTCCAGATAAGTCAGGGATTGCCTACCCACTATCCTCAAAGGAACAACCTTACTGCAAACTTACAGACTACAAATAAAGGTCTAAAATGTCAAGGTTTAAAATAAATGCAAAACCAAATGCTAATGGCTTTTTTTAAAATATCATTACTCATTTTATCAATTCTAAACATGTTAAGCTTCAATACTGTGTGGGTCAACAAACGACATGAGAGAAGTCAGGCCTTTGGGAGAACAGGGACAGGGAAAGTTGATACAATTGTAATCACATCTACAGATTCAGCAATACTCAGATTAGATGAATTTTCCAGGTAACTGTGAAAATATCACGGTGACCTACAGTGAAACGTATCATTTCTTTGGGCTCCAAATGCCATGATTTATTAACTAAGGTATGAGGACAAAAGTATAGAAGGTATGTCCTACAAATGAAGGCTGAAAGATACTAAAAAGGAATTCAAATTTAAAAAACTAAGGTAAGAATGTGTAATAACTTAATACCAACTTCAAGCCTTAGAGAAGGTATCATCAACTAGTTTCCTGCAATTGGCGCATAACTGATGATGAAATTAACCGTTTTTTTTTCTTCTGTTCTTACCTCGTAAGACCAGACACACTGCACCCCCGCAAACCTCCGGACACATCTTCCCACCTCCACGTCCTCGTGAGTCGTGTACATTTCCCGGAGACACTTTCCAATGTGCGGCACCATTCTCCGGAGAACCTCCCGGCTCATGATCACACCGGGCCCCCCCATGCAGAAGTTCTCACCGGGTTCCAGGGCCAGTTTCCCCATCTCTTCCGTGGTGCCCAGTCCTGTCTGCCCGAGAAAGAGGGGCTCACTGCTATTCAAACTCCTCAGAAAATTCTCCAGGCGGTCTCCTTTGATATACACGTCATCATCTGCTCTCATAAACCATTCATACTTGTCCAGGTAGTGGTCATGCATGTACTTGAGCATCATGAAAGACTTCTTCTGGGGTGGGTAGGAGTCGTCCACGCCCCGTAGTGGCACTATCGGAATTGGTATCGAGGTGTCTGAACCCTCACTAGAGAAGAATTCGACTTTCCCAGGAATTGTCTTGGACCATGTTCTGGAATTAAAATAAGCATCAGTGAGAGAACAGTTTATTTCAAGCTTCTCATTTCCAGAAATCCACAGATCTACTCATGTTGAAGCACTGTGTGTTCAGAAGGAATGATAAAAAGCTACCTGATCTGCTTGCTTCCCCTTAACAGAAGTCCAGGCTATGGGGTATTCCAAGGCCCAAGTTCATTTTCAAAAGAATCCCACCAAAAAAAGATTAATGAAGTGTTAAAATATTTCCGGGATAACTAAGTTTTAAGCTGTGGCTGAAAACCAAATTGCCGGGGCACCAAGGTTTCAACACCCAGGTTAATTTTCTGATACTATCAACCCTCCACCTATAAACTCCTCCACTCCAGAAGACAATTAAAAATCAAATTCTTCATTCAGCAAAGTTTCTTTGGATGCATATCAATGCCAAGTATGTGCTAAGCCAGGGGATGCAGGGCGAACAAAACACAGATGCCAACTTATAGAGCAGTCATCAGGAGAGATAGACGTTTATCAAAGGAGTCACACACAAATGTACATACTATTATGAATTAAAACAAGTGCTCTGAAAGGCACACAGCCTTCAAGAGCAAACACACAGAAAGATCACAAACAAGACACACAATGCAGAGAATGCTTCCTGGAGACAGGGTGAATGTCAAGGATGAGATACAGACCCAGGATGCAGCAGAGGAAAGGGATGGCACAGAAACGGGTGAACGCTGAGTATTCCACGGTCTTCGGGGGTGGAGGAGAGGGTTGGGGCCACTGGGTGGGAACTGCCACAGCAGCCTGGACGGGGGGGGGGGGGGGGGGGGGGGTGCCAAGGGTAACTGCACGTCCCATTGTCAGAGGAGAGATTAGAAATGAACAAAAAGGAAACAAAGAATCCTGCTCCTGCACAACTGATTTAAGGCCATCGTGTTCCAACTTTCCTTATGCCTTCCTCATTTTATGTAGTAAGAGCTGAAGCGGTCCAGCTACAAATATGCATTTATACAGACTACTTCTAGGAAAAACATCGCAGAACATAAATGAAGCAGTCAATAAACAGAACATAAATGAAGCAGATCAAAAAAGGTCTGTTCCCAGGTGATATTCTCTCCAATATATTTTTATTTTGCTTATCCATTACAATCATATGTATTATAGTGAAAAGTGAACTTGAAGGGTCAATGAAAACCACACATCTTACATGAAAGGTCTTAGGGAGAGAAATTCTTGTAAAAGACATATACCAACCCCCAGAGGAGAGGTACAGAAGTAGGGGAGTGGGGAGGCATTGAACATATTCATATTGTTCTTCAACATCACCACCATGCATCTCCAGAATGTTTTCATCTGCAAAACTAAATTTCTAAAGTACAGTATTATTTTTGTAATTTTATAAATGATCTACAATGAATTACTTAAAAAAGCAATTACTGGCTTTTAATTCTTCTCCTAACCCAAATGTAAGGAATACAAAATGACTTCAAATTTCTCTCATTCAAGCAGAAGAGGAATTCGATGAACTTGTCAAACATGCTTCTCAAAAAAATCCAAGGATTAAATACATATCGTTTTTCATCAAAGCTAGGAAGTCGACTGTAAGACACACAATTGTTTTTTGTGCCAATAACAAGGAAAAAACAGTGCCAATCATAATCACATGATGCCAGCAACTGTAAAACGCATCCTGTTTCAGAGATGTTAAAATGTGGGGGGAAATGTGCATCTTAGAATGATGTAAGACAGTCGTAGTAATGTTTTTCCCTTAATGCCTGTGGATTTAAAATGGACCTATGGAGTCTTATGCCATTTACAAAACTCAGCATATATGGTACCTGATGGGACTACAGATGCTGTACTCCCATTTTCACAAAGGATAAGCACCCAAAAGAATGGATGAAAAGTAAACATGGCAGGAATGTAGCAACTAATTTAAGGAGAAACCAACCCTTTCCATAAAGAGATAAGTCTATTTAAAAATGAGAATGAACTGGGGGCGCCTGGGTGGCTCAGTCGGTTGGGCGTCTAGCTTTGGCTCAGGTCATGATCTCATGGTTTGCAGGTTCGAGCCCTGCATCGGGCTCTCTGCTGACAGCTCAGAGCCTGGAGCCTGCTTCGGATTCTGTGTCTCCCTGTCTGCCCTTCCCCCGTTCATTCTCCCTCCCTCCCTCCCCCCAAAAATAAATAAACATTAAAAAAAAAATTCTAAGCATGAGAATGAACCAGAGTCTACACAGAATGTATAATAACTGAAAGACACCCTCCTGACGTGGTAATCTAGAGGGGAGATGACTTCCCAGCCCCAGGAGGTGGGTGACAATGAAGATGTACTAAGAGGACCACCATCCAGGGCAAGGAGCCTCTGATTCCTTCCTCTAAGAGAAATGATTTTTGTTTGGGAGTCATATTACTTGAAAAAGTAAATAATTTCAGTGGTTGGCACATAACAAGTCAATAAATCCTGCTCACTTGCATTAAAAAAAGTGACTTAAGGGGCGCCTGGGTGGAGCAGTCGGTTAAGCGTCCGACTTCAGCCAGGTCACGATCTCGCGGTCCGTGAGTTCGAGCCCCGCATCAGGCTCTGGGCTGATGGCTCAGAGCCTGGAGCCTGTTTCCGATTCTGTGTCTCCCTCTCTCTCTGCTCCTCCCCCGTTCATGCTCTGTCTCTCTGTCCCAAAAATAAATAAACGTTGAAAAAAAAAAAATTAAAAAAAAAAAAAAAAGTGACTTAAAAGTGCTGTGTGTGTGTGTGTGTGTGCAAGTGTGAGCACACCTCCACGCAGAAAAGAGCAGAAACCATTTCTGTCTCTGAGACACCTCCAAGTGAGTTTCTAATCACTTTCCATAACACTCTACCATTTCCTGCCATTCCTACATGAAGAACCGGACTTAATCAGACCCAACCAGAAAACAAGAGGTAAAATTCACAGGCCTGCTGGAGTTCAAATATACTACCGTCCATGGTCCCTCTGAAATGTAGTTTAAAGCTAAACAGTCTGCATTATCTCATAACTGATTACACATTGATAGTGAATAAAATCAACCTAACTTCAGCTTCTACCCAACTGCTTCTGAACTAAAATGTGATTAATAAAACAGACCAAGTTCAAACCAGTAAGTACTAAAGTACTGGGGTCGGGTGAGCTCAGAAGCTGTTAAGATATTAAAGCACCATGATACTGAGACATGGGATGAGTAAGACAACATCCGCCTTCAAAAGAATAACCTACTCAAGACACAACACGCTGTGTCACGGCTAAAAGGACAGGCTCCGGAATCAGGCTTGTGGGGTGACGGTCCTGGCCCCACTTTGGGTGAGCCACCCTGTGCCTCCCTTTCCTCATCTGCAAGCTGGGGGATGGGGTAATAATGGCACCTACCTTAATAGGGATGTTGTGAGGGTCAGACGGACCCTTCTATCTCAAGTGCTCAGACGTCGGCCTGGCACGCAGTAAGCATAACAGAAGGGTGACTTACTGGGGAAGACAGCAGTTTGCAAATAAGATGGTGAAAGAGAAAATGAAGGACACAAGGGAGCGTGGGATGGACCCGGGAAAGCCCGTCACAGGATCACACGCCAGCGCGGAGGCGCTGTGGAAAATGCTGCTTCTCACGTTGCTGGCTGAAAACCCGACACTCAAGCCAGCTATTAGAATTCCGTTTTGCTGTCAATCTCTGACAACATCAGGGTATAAGTCTAAGGAGACTTCAACTTTTAAAAGTTTTTTCACTTCTTAATGCTGGAATCCTTTGTAGGAGACTGAGGATGGAAACCCCTCCCGGCCCGGGCCCGCAGCGCCCGTGCCCCCGCGGACAGAGCAGGCAGAGAAAGTGCCGATGGTACAACCGGCACCCAGGCGATTAATGCCCGCACTGTGACTTGAAATGGTGTAATTTGTCTAAGAAGAGAAGCCAATTAATTTTAAAAACAGACAATCTAACCTCAAACCATCCTTAAAAGCCTCTCTGCAGTTTTATGGCAACTCCACCCAATTATTATCTTTTCCTTTTTAGGTAACCCAGGGAAAAACCTCAAGCTGCCCTTTTCTGTCTAAATGACTGGCAGTTTGAGGGAAATCTCTCAGAACGAATTTCTGTAAATCCTCCAATCTTAAGAAATGATGACCGTTTTCACTTAGGGTGCCTTTGGCTTCAAGAGCTCCATCCAGTTAAAGGCTTCTGGAACAGAGATCATGATTCACCATCCTGGGGGACCGGGGGGGGGGGGGGCTGTAATAATGGCTAAGAAGTGAAGGAAGCACGCTGCTCAAGCAGCAGGCTGGCCCTCCTTCCGTGAGAGAACCAGGTCCAGTTCCTTAATTTTCATAAGCAAATGTCAACCTTGCCACTGACACGTTTGTTACCAGGAGCAAAGAGCTCTCACTTGATTGAAACCACAGAACGTTTGCAGAGGCCCTCGCCAGCTAGCTCAAGTTTCAGTGGACCGATAACCAACTCTAGCTAAAGGCACAGATAAGACAACTGAAATCTGAGAGAGCCAAGAAAGCTATCAGCCCTTCCTCGGGGCTTCTAAACGCTATCCCTCCACCAAGTTAAATCACTGTTAAGTAATGCAGCTAGATGATAATTAGCTTCGCTAAGGGTTGCCTTTGCTGACTTAAGACTTCATATAGTCCCCCTTCCCATTCGGTTACCATTTTAAGAAAAACTACATAAAATACATTTCTGTATAAAACTGCATCTATAGCAGGACTCCTGTCCTAAGTACACATTCGTAATCCATGGGCAAAAAGCAGGCAAGAGTATATACTTGTGATGTGGACTATTAAGGGAACAAAAGTACATATACAAAAATAAAATATTTTACAACTTTGCCCCAAAGTGCTTACTATGGTTATTTGTGGTTGGAGGATCAGAAGGCATTTAATTTTCTTCATGTTTTCTACATTTCTAAATTTTCTGCAACAGAAAGGTGTATTTAGAACTGGGAAAAAATTTTTTAATCTGGAGAAAAGCTTTAAGCTAAAAAGCATCCAAAGAAATGAAAAGATATGACAACAGAAAATTCTACTTTTA